CAAGGAGAAGCAAACCGATATGGGAATATCTCTGAAGAGGGAGCAGGCCAAGGGAATGTTAAAAAGAAGTATAACAAAAGAAGTATAACATTTCAACGCCAGGATTTCAACATGTCCATTTGTGTGTTTTTTTTTTTTCTTCACCACCAACAACAACAACTACTACTAATAATAATGTGGCAACTGTAGTGGTCATAAATGCAGGAACATTAACAGCAGCCTCTACTACACCAACGACAAGACAAGACAACTACAAAGTTTTCACTAACAACTTTGGTTACTCTCGCCTTTTGTTTAAATAAAATGCCAGGGAACAAGAAGAAGAAAAAAAAAGAGGATCGGAATGAAATAAAAAAATTTTCATTTCACACAAAATTCTAAAGAACAATTTAACACTTTGTGTGGCATCGACAAAAAAATAAAATGAAGGAAAATAGGCAATGCTAAGGATAGGTCGAACATCGAAGGCGCTACATAAAAAAATATTCGGAAAAAATAAAAGTAGACCTTGAAAATTGTTTTTCAAAACCCAAGGAAAAACACAACAGCTTACGGAAGCCTACTCCTCCCAATTTACCCAACTGCTTGACGAAAGCACCCCTTGTCCCCATAATAATATAGAAGCACAATGGCAGATAATTGCCCACTCCTTACATACTGCAGCAAAAGCAACACTTGGGTACCAAAGACCACCATCAAGAAATCCGTGGTACGATCAGAAGTGTCGTAATGCTACTAATATGAAAAACACAGAGTATAGGGCAACCCTGCGGACAGTAACAACACGTAATGCGATGGAGAACTATCGGGAGCAGTGTTGCCAATTTAGCACTTTTAGTGCTAGATTTAGCACTTTTTAAGCTCGTTTAGCACCAAAAAAATTGATCTAGCACCTAGCACTTTTTTTAGCATTTTTAATTTGTTCCAAGATTTTTTCAAAATTTTTAGTATCATTCCAAAAAAATTGCAGTTTCTCGATTTCACATTGAAGTTTCCGTATATTTCTCATGGTTGTGGTAGTCGCACAGGGCTATCCATATGATACATTACGTAACTACCACAAGTCTTAAATTTTCTGCGAAACTAATGTCAGTGTCGGTGAAATATTCTGTGAAATATCCACCTCCTGGTGTTGTAATAATTATCAGAGTATAACAAGTAAAAACTATGTAAACGGCCGAACTTTCTATAACTTCTATAACTATATAATAAATCACAACCAGCTCGATTGGAAAATGTGTCCAAGATCCGCAAAATACCGAATATTGGGGGTACCGTTATATGGGGGCTAGACCAATACTTAGACTGATAACAATATAAAAGTGTATTATTTCATACTCTAAATATCATCCGTTCAAATCGATAGATGTCGCACTTCAACAAAACCGGAATTTTATGCAAAATTGTATAGTTATAATCTACTGCAGTAATGGTAATACTAAATACTATTAGAATAGATAGACCCCTGTAAATATTTACGTAAAGCTCCACACCTTCTAGAATCTGCTCTTCTAGAATAAATGTGAAGAGCATATAGTTTAAATTTTGTATTTTTTCAAACAAAAGTCTGGGTCAACTTGACTTGCTCAATTTGCTTATTCATTAGCATTTTCCCCATGTACAATTTTGTGACCCCTAGAGAGACCAGAAACAAATATGAAATGCTTTGGTTGACTTCAACAGCCAAATATTGACCGTTTTTACCAAACACAATAAGTGTCTTCACTGGCCAGAACCGGATATGCAGAATATCGTGGCAATTAGTTCACAGCTATGACCTTTACTTTGTTTATAAATATTAATGGTCATACGAATAGTCACATACATCTATATCGACTCAGCTATCCGGGATATAACGATCCGTATACCAAAATGTAAGTCCAGGACCAAACTATCGAAGCACAAACACTTGCAATACCCTCACAACATAGCTATTAATTTAAATTTTAAGAAATATAGATCTCATTATAAAATATTATCAATTTTCTTATATTCATTTTTAGCACTTTTTTCTGGCACTTTTCTAAAATTTTTAGCACTTTTTAGCATATTTTTCAATTAAATCTAGCATTTTTTCTCAATCAAGTTTTGGCAACACTGATCGGGAGAAACGTAGAGAGGAGAAACGTCTTTTCAAAAAAAAAGAAAGAGCCAGAAAAACGTGAGCGTGAACAAAATGAAGTGTACAGGAATCAGAATGAAATCCGAAAATTCTACCAACGAGTAATACACCAAACCGAAGGTTTTGGTGCAGACACATCCTTCTGTAGAGATAAAGAAGGAAACAGATAAGAGAAGATGATATAGATTGTATACCACGTAGCCAGATGAGGTCAGAATAGCAATCAATCAGCTTAACAATAATAAAGCAGCAAGTGCCGATGGGTTACAAGCCGAACTATTCAAGACTGGTGCTCACATGCTGGTAAGGAGCATGCACCACCTGATTAGTACAATTTGGCTAGAAGAATGCATGCCCAATGATTGGAACCTCAGCATCCTGTGTCCCGTACACAAAAAAGGAGACAAGACGATATGTGCCAACTATAGAGGAATAAGTCTCCTTCCCATCGCATATAAAGTGCTATCCAGCGTACTGTGCGAACGACTGAAGCCAATTATTGTACCATACCAATGCGGCTTCAGACCTGACAAATCCACCATTGACCAGATTTTCACTCTGCGCTAAATCCTGGAAAAACCCACGAAAAACACATCGACACATTCCACCTATTCATCGACCATAAGCCGCATTCGACAGCCCTATCCGTTCGGAGGTGTATAAAGCCATGTCTGCGTTTGGCATTCCTGCAAAATTAATTCGGCTATGCAGGATAACTTTCCCAGGCACAAGATCAGCAGTTAAAGTCGGAAAGGACCTCTCGGAGCCCTACCGAACGAGGATTCAGACAAAGTGATAAAGTGAACAGAAATGGCACTCTGTACACCAAACATCACATGTTACTCGCCTACGCCGATGACATCGATAAAATGGGTCGAACATTGAGAGCGGTAACAGCCACCTTCGAACAAATTGAGAAGGAGTCTGCCAAATTGGGTATGGCAGTAAACGGCGAGAAGACCAAGCTGATGGTATCAACGCGCAAAACGTCCAGTAGACTCGGACCAACTGTGGAACTTGAGAACTACAGCTTCGAGGTGGTCAAAGATTTTATATGCCTTGGTACCGCCATAAATAAAACCAATGACATCAGTTTTGAAATTTGGAGAAGGATTGTGATGGCTAACCGATGCTACTATGGTCAGAGCAAACAACTCAAAAGCAAAGCTACCTCCCGCCAGACCAAACTCACACTCTACAAGACGCTGATACTACCCGTGCTGTTATATGAATCAGAAGCATTTGTACTTACGCAAGGATATGAGGCAGCTCTTGGAGTGTTGAGAGAAAAATTCTCCAACAGATCTATGGGCCGATTTGCGATGACGGTGAATATCGCCGTCGAATGAACCATGAGTTGTACCAGCTATTCTCGGACATCGACATTGTTAGACGTATTGAGCTGCAGCGACTACGTTGGCTAGGTCATGTTGTGAGAATGGATGAAGATGCCCAGCCCAGAAGGCATATAAAAGCGAACCAGCTGATGGTTCACGCAGATGGGGAAGGCCACGAATACGATGGAAAGATAAAGTCGGACACAACATTGCAGAAAATGGTCTTTCAAATTGTAAAAACTGCGCAAAAGACCGACGCGCCTGGAAATCTTTTCTAAGCTCGGCTTATGTATGTAAAGGTAGATCTTGAAAAATATTTTTAAAACAATTCACGCCTAAAAGTAGACCAGGGAATTTTTTTAATTATCCACACTTAAAAGTAGGCATTTTTTTCTACACATAAAATCGTTTGCATCAACTATTTTTAAAAATCCACGCCAAAGGCAGACTTTGAAAAAGCTTTTAATTTTGAAAAATTGAAAACAAAATACATACAAATTTTGAACAAAACAAGGCATGTTCAACATTTAAAATTACTCTCTTAACTTTGCAAATTTTGGTGTTATCCTACAACCATTTTTAAAAATTGTTGTTAAAAACTGTTATAGAATTAAAATATTGTTTATTTTGTCGTTATAATATTTTATCGATTTGAGAATAGTTAAATTTTGATAGTGAATCGACCCACAGGTAATTTTTTAAATTATCCACGCTTAAAAGTAGGCATTGATTTTTTTTAAATTCACGCCTAAAAGTAGACCATGATCAACTATTTTTAAAATTTACACGCCTAAAGGCAGACCTTGAAATAATATGTTTGAAAAATTCACGCCTGAAGGTAGACATTAAGACAACAATAAAAAAAATCACGCCTAAATGTAGAACCTTGAAAAAAATATTTGTAAAAAATTCACGCCTGAAGGTACACCTTAGAAATTATTTAAAAAACCCTTCCCCTAAAAGTAGACCCTGAAAAGAAATTATTTATATTGCCTAAGGTAGAACTTAGAAAAAAATGTTAAAATTACTATTCCCCATCCCCCGCCGTAGGGTATCAATAGTAAAAAAAAAACTTTTTTTGGTTAAACACAACTTTTCCTCTTTTTAGTTTTGTTTTTTTTTTCTTCAGTTTTTTGGAAGAACTGTTGATGTTTCAGTGCTGCTTTTGGCTCAACAAATATGGCAGCTCAATAACTAGAATTATGCTTTTGGACTATTTTTTTTTTTTTTTCAAAACAAAAAAATATAAAACTTTTTAAGAGAGAAAAATGAAAAAAAAAATAGATTGTATGTTATGGGAATACAATGGTATTTGGCCATTGTCAGATTGTTTTCTGTATGTCTATAAGTATGCTTATGGGGAAACTTTAAGCGAGAGATATATATGTATGTAGAGGAATGAACGATGTATGCACTGGAGCGTTTATACTTATTTCTAGTTTAAAAAAATAAGGCGCCTAAACATAGAATAGAAAATCAAATAAAGGAAGGAGGAAGAGTACAAAAAAAACTTTTGAAAAAATAAAAGAAATACTACTTACATGGACCATTCGACTGGATACCATGGAACTCCAAACTATATTTCAGATGACTGCTACCGAAGTTTGACCAGTACTTGGCAATGCACAGTTCAAGTATGTTGTTTTCCTATAGTGGCGGCGGCGGCGACGAATAAAAAAGAAGGAAAACGAGTTAAAGAACAGTAAAAAAATATTTATATATATTAAATAAAATATACAGCAAAGGGGTATGGATAAGGATATCTCTCCAGAGTCAACTACATGATAGATGAGTATAATAGTACGAGTAGAAGAAAATGGAAGGATGCTGAATGAAAAAAAAAACAAACGACATTCAACTCTCAACTGCTGAACTTTGTACTTGAAGTTTATTTAAAGAACTATTATGTTTGCATTTGGACATTTCCTCATTTTTCTTGCAATTTCCACATTTCGTTTTTTTCTCTTTTTTGTCATTTGTTAAGGAGACAATGAAAATGACGATGGATAGTCACAATTGTTAGTTGAAGAGAGGAGGAATTGTAAGGATAATGGGGTGGATCGGAGGGGAAAATTTATATAAAAAAATTTAAATTTTATTTTTAAGTGTTAAAGTTTGAAAATAATATATTAGGAAAAAATGTAGTTATAAAATATAGGGCTCTGATAGGCCTCGAAAAAAAGTATTTATAAAATTCATAGGTATTGACAAACATATTTTTATGTAATTCAGGCCGATGACAGGCATTGACAAATTATTAATAAAACATAAGACCCTTATATAAAATATAAGACTCTGATAGATTACGAAAACAATTATAAAATATAGGGTTCTAAGAAGCCTTGAATAACGCTCTGATAGGACAGGAAAAATTATTTTTAAATAGTAGGGTTCAGATGGACATTGAAAAATATTAATTTTAGAATGTACTGCTCTGTAAGCCCGTAATATAATAATTTTAGAGAAAAAAAGAGTCTGATAGGCTTTGAAAAAATATTTGTAAAATATAGGACTCTGATAAGCTTTGAATAAAAATATTTGTAAAATGAGGGGTTATCAGCCTTGAGAAAAAATTTGTATAAAAAGTAGAGCTCTCATAGGACTAGGAAATTTATAATTTTAGAATGGGCCTTGAAACTTCTTTTTTTAAATGTAAGGCTCCCATAGGCCTGGGAAATGTTAATTTATTAAAAGTTGGGTTATGTTAAGCTTAAAAAAATTATTCACAAAATGAAACGCTTTGATAAGCTTTGGGCCTTTAAAAAAATCCACGCCTTTGTAGGGCCTTTAAAAAATCCACGCCTTTGTAGGGCCTTTAAAAAAATCCACGCCTTTGTAGGGCCTTTAAAAAAATCCACGCCTGTGTAAAAATCCACGCCTTTGTAGGGCCTTTAAAAAAATCCACGCCTGTGTAAAAATCCACGCCTTTGTAGGGCCTTTAAAAAAATCCACGCCTGTGTAAAAATCCACGCCTTTGTAGGGCCTTTAAAAAAATCCACGCCTTTGTAGGGCCTTTAAAAAAATCCACGCCTTTGTAGGGCCTTTAAAAAAATCCACGCCTTTGTAAAAATCCACGCCTTTCTAAAAATCCACGCCTTTGTAGGGCCTTTGTAAAAATCCACGCCTTTGTAGGGCCTTTAAAAAAACGAATCCTTTGTAAGGTTTTTAAAAATCCACGCCTTTGTAGGGCCTTTAAAAAAACGAATCCTTTGTAAGGTTTTTAAAAATCCACTCCTTTGTAGGGCTTTTAAAAAACGAAGCCTTTGTAGGGGTTTTAAAAATCCACGCCTTTGTATGGCCCTTAAAAAAGCGAAGCCTTTGCAGGGTTTTTAAAAATCCACACGTTTGTAGGGCCTTTAAAAAAACGAAGCCTTTGTAGGATTTTTAAAAATCCACGCCTTGGTAGGGCTTTTAAAAATCCTCGCCTTTGTAGGGCATTTAAAAAAATCCACGCCTTTGTAGGGCATTTAAAAAAATCCACGCCTTTGTAGGGCCTTTAAAAAAACGAAGCCTTTGTAAAAATCCACGCCTTTGTAGGGCCTTTAAAAAAACGAAGCCTTTATAGGGCCTTTAAAAAAACGAAGCCTTTGTAGGGTTTTAAAAAAACCACGCCTTAGTAGGGCCTTTAAAAAAACCACACCTTAGTAGGGCCTTTAAAAAAACCTACAAAGCGCTCTTAAAAATCTTCTTAAAAAATCCACGCCTTTTTGGGCCTTTAAAAAAAACACGCCTTTTTGGGACTTTGAAAAACCACGCCTTTGTAGGGTCTTTGAAAAACCACGCCTTTGTAGGGTCTTTGAAAAACCACGCCTTTCTAGGGCCTTTAAAAAAGGCAACGCCTTTTTGAGCTTTTAAAAAAACACGCCTTGGGTCTTTAAAAAAGGGTCTTTAAAAAGACCACGCCTCTTTGGGCCTTAAAAAAACACGCCTTTGTAGGGCCTTTAAAAACACGCCTTTGTAGGGCCCTTAAAAATATTTTTAAAAAATCCACGTTTTTGTAGGGTCTTAAGAAAACAAGCCATAAAAAACACGCCTTTGTAGGATCTCTAAAAAAATCCACCCCTTTGTAGGGCTCTTACAATTTTTCTTAAAAACCCTCGCCTTGGGAAAAATATTTAATAAAAAACACGCTTTGGATAGGCTTTTAAAAAATATTCCTTAAAAAAATCCACTCCTTTTATAGGCGTTGAAAAATATTCTTTAAAAATTCACGCCTATGTTAATGACTTCGAAACATATTTTAAAAAAATCCGCTCCATGCGAATATTTATCCCCTCCGATGTTAGTATATTTTTTTGTTTTATTGCTGCTTGCCCTGTGGGACATAATAATTTATACATGATCCATGTATATAAATATCCTCATACATATTATGTAGATGTGTGTGTTTGATGTAGGTGGTAGTAAACTGTATAACCTCTTGAGCTACTCACATCTACAGCTATTGTTGTTGTTTTTGAAATTGTTGTTGTCACATAATACATGTGCGGTCATTACAATTTAAAATAATAACAACCCCTACTCGAATCATATGAAAAATAGGAAAGTACTTTGTGTAAATAAAATTACACTAATGATAAATTAAATAGGTTAGGAGGGGATTGGAACCAAGGAAGGGCATTTTTTTCTAAGAAAAAAGTGTCGAAAATTTTATGCATCAAAAAAAAATCTTCATCTTCCTAACATTGAAGAGAAATTTCTCTGTTCTCGGCAGTATAAGTTCTTCGCAGATGTTCATACCCTTCAACTTCCCTGAATATGTACTTTTCTTCGGAATCACTTCTATCCATCCTTCCATCTTGATTTAATTTATTTATCTTTAATTTTTGACACTTTTCTTCTTTCTAATTGACTTTCGATACTTTTGATGTTGGACCCCCATAGACAATTGCATTGCGGTGTGTGTGTTTGGCAAGTCGAAAGAGTGGACAGAGGAAATGTTGATTTCTGGTTCTTGGTCGAGGGAGGTCAATACAATGGACTGTCCTTTACTTATCCTTAGCAGACAGACGACTTTTGCAATAAAATTCTCCTCCTTGGTTCCTCAATGTTGCAAAGTACTTAGTTTATGTCTTTCTTAGTGAGACATACAGACAGACAGAAGACGTGAGCTTCCACATATCCACAAGCAAGACCCCAATCCCTCAGCCACAACACAGCCAACACTACCGAAATGTCAAGCAACAGCAAAATTGCTGCAAGTATTAAAATAACAATAACAACAAACACAAGTAGCTGATGTCGAAGCAGAAGAAGAAGCAGCAGCATAAGCATAAGAAATTGCTTTAGAAATATAAATGTTTTTCTAGATAAATGTAAACATGGCAGCTTATAAAGGATAATGAAAAGGAAATAGAGGAGATCAACAAAATATCCTCTAAATGTGTGTACGTGTGTTTTGGTGAGTGTGTGTGTGTGCACTCAGAGAGAGATAAGTGGGTGTGTGTGTGTTTGGATTTTATACTTGAAAATCTTCATAACAAGTAGACAAGTGGCACAAACACACACATACACCCTTGTAATATAATCTTTGTTCGAAGAAACTGCAGTTGACATAAAAATGCACTACGAAGTGGTTTTCGAACGAATGATGAAAAAATATACATAATTTATTGGGGATGAGGTTCAATAGGTCGTTATAAATAAATATTTCTTTTCTTAAATCAAGTTCTATAAAAGATGTGGACCCAAGTTGAAGATTTTTTAAGATAACTGTTTTCTGGGTCTAATTAAGGCGTGGATTTTTTAAATGATTTTTTCAAGGCCTATTCAAGGCGTGGAGTCTCTGACAGGCGTGGATTTTTTAAATGATTTTTTCAAGGCCTATTCAAGCCGTGGAGTCTCTGACAGGAGTTGTTTTTTTTAAAGATTTTTTTTCAAGGCCTATTCAAGGCGTGAAGTCTCTGACAGGCGTGGATTTTTTAAATGATTTTTTCAAGGCCTATTCAAGGCGTGGAGTCTCTGACAGGCGTGGATTTTTTAAATGATTTTTTCAAGGCCTATTCAAGGCGTGGAGTCTCTGACAGGCGTGGATTTTTGAAATGATTTTTTCAAGGCCTATTCAAGGCGTGGAGTCTCTGAGAGGCGTGGATTTTTTAAATGATTTTTTTCAAGGCCTATTCAAGGCGTGAAGTCTCTGAGAGGCGTGGATTTTTTAAATGATTTTTTTTCAAGGCCTATTCAAGGCGTGGAGTCTCTGAGAGGCGTGGATTTTTTAAATGATTTTTTTTCAAGGCCTATTTAAGGCGTGGATTTTTTAAATGATTTTTTTCAAGGCCTATTCTGAGAGGCGTGGATATTTTAAATGATTTTTTTTTCAAGGCCTATTTAAGGCGTGGATTTTTTAAATGATTTTTTTCAAGGCCTATTCAAGGCGTGGATTTTTTAAATGATTTTTTCAAGGCCTATTCAAGGCGTGGATTTTTTAAATGATTTTTTCAAGGCCTATTCAAGGCGTGGATTTTTTAAATGATTTTTTCAAGACCTATTCAAGGCGTGGATTTTTTAAATGATTTTTTCAAGGCCTATTCAAGGCGTGGATTTTTTAAATGATTTTTTCAAGGCCTATTCAAGGCGTGGATTTTTTAAATGATTTTTTCAAGGCCTATTCAAGGCGTGGATTTTTTAAATGATTTTTTCAAGGCGTG